TTTTAAAGTAAACAGAAATTAGTTTTGAAGATAAAATTTCTCGGGTCACGGGTCCCGTGACCAGAAGTCGCATTAAAAGTAAGGCATATTTAATTTATTATACGTTAAAAATACTATATGGCTGTCAATGAAATATATTTAGAAATATTTGGCTTTTATGGCTCTCCCAGTCAAAAAGGTTCCCGACCCCTGATCTAAACACATGTCTCTAAATGTGGAGAGGAAAACGGCAGGACCTGGAGAAATAGCCACAAAACCACGGGGAGAGAGACTTGCAAACTCCAGATATACAGGCGTCAGGGTCGGGATTGAACCCACGACCTCCTGTATACGAGGCGAGGTCGTTAACATATCAACTTTCAAACATTGAGTTTGCAGCATGAGGCCACGTGCGAGTGTAGTTGGGAAAACGTGGTTCGGATCTGTCGATGTGGAGCATGGACTGTTGATTATCCAGACTCCTTGTTTTTTTCGTATGACTGATGTAGACACAGAACAATAACTACGATTTCACAATCAGGTGGTCAAGTCAGATAGTATTCTTAGGTTTTTTCGGTAAAGTCACGTAACAGATAGGTGGAATTCCTCCCCGTAGAGGGCATTAATTCTATATTTGAAGCTTTCGTGACTGCAAGGATTCATATTCTTAAGTTTTTTCGGTAAAGTCACGAATGTGGGTAAGACATTGCGTCGTTATATGCGATTTAGTGTGGACCATAAGGTTCGTGGAAGATCAAACCCAGAGATTAGGGGCCGTCCATAAATGACGTCACGCACATGGGGGGGGGGGGTCAGATATTTGTGACAATGTGTGACGAGAAGGGGAGGGGTTGAGAAATGTGACGTCACATCAAAATGCGCAACTTTAAATAAAAATAGAATTGTTATAACAACACTAATTGTTATAACAACACTCCTACAACATAAGTGGAGCGCCTCATTAAATACGCACTACAACAACAACAACAGTTTAAAGCGATTTGAAGCATGTTTAATTTTCAAAATGGAAATATGATTTTGGGGGGGGGGGAGGGGCAGAGCTTTGTGACGTCATATTTGAGGGGGGTCTGACTTTTTGTGACGCCGTGTGACGAGGGGGGGGGGGGTCAAAAATCGTCCAAAATCGCGTGACGTCATTTATGGACGGCCCCTTAAGCGTAGAGTAAAGAAACGTGGCTTATCCGACGTGCAAGCACAGTGTTGACACATGGATATGGACAATTGATTACCGTATTTTCCGATTACAACACGCTCCGGAAAACAGGACGCACCACAAACGAGTGTCGATAAAGTTATACAAAACTGATTACACATGCACCAACTTTTACTTTAAAATGCAAGGGTTGAGTCTTATCATCCAGAGAATGATATACACGTCGTGAATATGAAAGCCACATGTTTTGGAACAAAGCAATACTGTACTTAGGTTGAGTATTGCGTCCAATGCCCGACTAAACGTTTCCTTAGCCTGGAGTACCCCCTCATGGAAGATTGTGGCGTGACATTAGCGGCTTTGCAACGTGAAGGATGCATGTTGAGTCAGAAGTCCGTATTTGCCGATCACCAACTTTTCCTACTAAAACTAAACACTGAACAATTGTATTTTACCAGGGAAGACCCCCTGAGCTGCATAGCTCTTTTCAGAAGCGACCTGGCCACAAAAGAGAGCCCAATGAAGCAGCTTGTAATGTGGAAATTTATAGCAGCCAAATACTCTAAACGCGTGTGGATTCTAAATGCGGAGGGAAAAACCGAAGGACCCAGAGAAAAATCCACGCTTACAACGGGGAGAACAGGCAAACTACAAATATACAGGCATCAGGGTCGGGATCGAACGCATGCCCTCCTCAAAACCAGGCGAGATCGTTAACATCAGTGAACCCAGATAGTTAACGTCTCGCTACAATATCCAGTACGGCATTTCTATTTGAATTGTTTTGCTAGCGAGCTTGTTGGCTGGCCAGGCACGCGCCGCGTCCAGCAGCGCTTTCTTATTGGCTGGAGGCCATGCGCCGCCCCCCGCCCAGGTGGGGGGGGGCCCGAAGAGAATTTCGGGTGGGGGGTGCAGTTTGGGGGGTGGGGGGACATGGAGGGGAGCGGTAGTGTAGCGGTTAGCGCGCTGCGCTCAGAATCCGGCGACCCGAGTTCGATTCCCGCTCACGGTTCAGCACTAGTGACGATTATTTGAGCCTGCCATGGGCCTCCCCTAGGTCGACTCAGCCTCAAATGAGTACCTGGCCTGGTGTGTGTAAGCATCACCACTGGGGAGACAAAGGCGGCCGGGCGTGGTGCTGGCCACCCACCCCCCTCGTGTGCCGTTCCGGCCTTCATCGGTGCTCGCTAACAGCACTTGCCCCTACAGTCTGTTACAGGAGCTCTTTGTCTGTAAGGAGGAGGTGAGGGGTGCCCTGGGGGGTTGCCAAGCACGAGACGGGGATGCACCAGGGGGGGTGGAGGCGGGGATGTTAGCGGAGGACCGTCGTTCAAAGATGGGTGCATTCACGACACAGTATATATATTTTATAAAGTCTCGTTGGCTGCAATAAAAGATGACAAGGGTTATATTTTTTACTCTGACTTTTTAACCATTGGTTAACCAGGGGGGGAGGGGGGGGTAAGGATGGACGGATGGTCACATCCGAAGGACGTGCGAGGTTGCTAGTCATAGTTACAAATACAAACCTGGTCGTCTTTTAAGGCAAGTTTGAAATAACGCGACGTGTTCATTGAAATATGGAGCATTATTCATTAATTCTTATTGGGAAATAAAATCAGAAGAAAGCGCCAATAAATCATGGGGATAATCAGAGAAAGTCAAGATAAACCTTGAGAAGAGCCATACTCACGCGACCTGCCTCCCCTGTCCGAGAGAATCACCTGAGAGGCAAAGCAAATACCTGATGCAGATGTGAGTAGTTGAGGTGTGCTTTGGGTAGTTTGAGGAGTACATGAAAAGGCCTTCTGGATGGGAATCCAAACCTTAGGAATATTGATGACGACGGTGATGATATCGTTGATGGGCCAAGTTCATTGTAACTTCAAGGGGAAAGTGTGGTGCTGAGATTATCAGGGATTCATCAAGGTCATACATTGCTTTCTATACGCTTTGGTTCTTTCGGTAAAGTCACGTAGATATAAAACTATTTTTTTTATCGAATTGAATTTTTATTTTATACCTACATGACTTTACCGAAAGAACAAAAGAGTATGGATCCCTGCAGTCACGAAAACTTTAAATCTAGATTGCTTTCTGTGTTAGAATATTGGGCTTTTCCATCATCATCATCATCGTCGGTTCTGACGGACTGATGTCAACCATAGTGATGCTTACAACTAGAAACATCTGAAAACCAAAATGTTGAACTTTGACCCCTCAAAACTATGGCCCAGATATTGATTGGTTTCACGAACAGAGAACGGTCAGCATAAAGTTCTATATACCGTACATTGCTCTCTCATGGCAAGCACTTAAAAACATACGGTCCCGATTATCAGTGAACCCAGTAATTTGCCTGTCATGGATTGTGATGCTAAAGCTGATAGTGTGTAAAGCTTGCGACCAGGTTACGAGTTCAAAGTTGTGCGAGTACTCATTAAGGCCAGCACAGTGCATAGAGGGGCGGTGTGGCCTGCACCACAGCTGATCACCTCTGTCTCCCAAGCGTTGCTTACACCACCACTCCGGGCATTCATATAATGTCGAGTCGACCTATAGGTGCCCCAGAACCAGTTCAGATACTTGGCACTGACGTTAGCCATTTCCGGGAATCGAACTGCGTTCATCGAGCGGCGATGGAATTACTGTGCTTCGGCATGACAACAACTGCCGTTCACCCCTAAGTAGCGGTGACGTATGCTGCTGCATTCATACATGCATACACTTTTTTTTTCTTTCGTATGGCATGTAAGCAACAGTTTGTATAGATGTCATCGTTAAATGGTAAGGTCCTTCAACCAATCCAAGGCAGCAGTAGACGCTGCATGGATTGCAGCGATACCGCCAGGGTGTGCGTGGATGGCGCACTCATCAGTGATGTGTTTGATGGTTTGGGCTTTACCACAGTCGCAGTTTGGTGATTCATTGATTTTACTTTAATGGGACAACGTGCTACGTCCGAGCGCTGTTCAGTGTGGTCCACGGCCGTCGTGAGAGAGACAGAATCCCTGCACTTCCACGGTCGGGTCCTCAACGATGTTTTTTGCACGTTCGTAGCCGCCCCACCCTTCAGACCGTCGAGTGCCGGTGTCTTTATTTTCAGCTGCCAGAGCGGAGGTGCATATCCAAAAAGGCTTCCTGGATTTAAGCCTAGGGCGTGGGGTTTCATTTACGTCTTGGTGGAGCGGCAGGGCAAAGGTTTCCATGATCTTGTTGTACTCCCGGATCGTCGCAGCATCATGTTGGTTGTTGTCTGGAGCGATGTTTGCCAGCACAGGAAGCCACTGATGATACGAAGTGCAGTGTCCATTTCGATGTCGACAAGGTTTGTGTGACAAGGCTGGCACTCCACACTGGAGCACAGCTGTAGAGTGGAGCAGGGCCTGCGTTGATATATTCAACGTGAAGGTGTCATGCATACACTCATCCAAATCTATGTACATACACAAACTCTTGTATCTTTTTTGTCCTGCTGCACAAGTGAGCCACACCAAGGCTGTACTGAGCCAACCCGGCACAGGTGTCCCTTGAAGCCAGCTTATCACACTTTGGTCACAGCTTGGCTTGCCAAATAGCCAGTGGAAAACCACCCATACCAGAAGGGCCTTCCATGCTAGCTCAGCTTGGATGTGCCAGTGGGAAAAACGGGTGGTTTCAGCATGGCACTGACTTCTGAGCCGCCACCTGTCCACAAGCCCCTCAATCATCCCTCACCAACTTAACTCCGTCCGCCAATTCGGGCCTGACCCTAACCTCAACCCGCACTCAGTACCGAACTCATGGCCGCTCACACACACACATATACACACCGCTCGCGACGACAAAAAATAACAGCGGACACGCGTGGCGTTGACAGACTGTGTATTTGAATGTCGCATCAGTGCGCTGCGTTGTAAGCTGAACATCGCACGGTGGCTGCGCTCCTAAACAAGCATCGCGGTGTCCACGTTTCAATGTCTATTCCATCGTTATCGTTGCTGAGGATAGGAAAATGTTTGGGTTCTGAAAGAAAAAAATGAAAACGCTGCCCCCCGCCACCTCACTAATCCATTACCCAGACACCACGCTTTTCCATGACACAGGGCTTCATGTCTCACTCGATATTCTCCAGAACGCTTCTAGGCTGGACTTGGAGGAGGGATTGTCAGTGTACGGCACTACCGCGAAAGCATTATGCATATAATACTATCCAGTATTATTGTACCCGGTATTCTTATAATGCTTTTAAGTTTGCATACAAAAGGTGAGATGGATTTGGCGTGCCAATACCCTCTAGAGAGTCTTTCTAGCGCTCCGTCTAGCCGAGGCCCTTCTGCCAGCAGTTGTGCGAGCAAAAAATTGCAGGGCTGTACCTTTACCTTTTTATGAATGAATGAATAAGCGAGCTACAGAATTCATTTTTACGAGCGCAGCCCCTTTGGCGTTTGAGTTGTGTTCGCGTCTGACGATAGCTAAGGCAGCAGCCACGAAGGCCCATGGCACTGGCAAGGGAAGGCCAGGTCACCGGGTCAATGGGTCAACGGGTCAGTACTCTTCCCCGTCCTCGCAGTCGCCCTCCAGGGAGTCGACCCCGACCTCCTCGTAGTCCTTCTCCAGGGCGGCCAGGTCCTCCCGGGCCTCGGCAAACTCCCCCTCCTCCATTCCCTCCCCCACGTACCTGCAGGCAAGTCCGAGGCATCAACATCGTCAACATCGTCAAGATAGTAACCATCATAAATTACGCCAGAATCACCAACAAAGAGTAGAAGTGTTATCACCATTGGCAGTAGCTTCAGATGCAGAAATCATCACATTCGGCAATGGTATTTGTGGCCAAATCACCATCATCGACATCATTCATCACATTTGGAGCGGCAACGTTCTTATCACCCACATCAGAAACAGCATCCTCATCATTCATCAGCATCGTCACCATCATAATCTACAGTCCTATCAGCACTGCTCTAACCACTACTTCAGCAACCCACTCCTTAAAATAAAAAAATTACATAAACTCTTTTCTTACTCTTCTTATTTTCACTTAGCTAGATAGCTCGTTTTCAGAAGCTGCACACAAATGATAGCTCAACGAAGTGGCTTATCATGTGGAAATATATGGCAGCAAAATACTCGAGATGCATGTTTATTCTAAATGTGGAGGGGGGAAACCAGAGGACCTGGAGAAAAATCCACGCGACCACGAGGAGAGAGAGATGCAAACTTCAAATATACATCAGGCGTCAGGGTCGGTATCAAACCCACGACATTCTGTATACCAGACGAGGTAGTTAACATCTCGCCACCGTGGCAACCATGATCAACGTTGCTGCTGAAAACTTACCAGTGCACGAAGGCGCGCTTGGCGTACATGAGGTCGAACTTGTGGTCCAGGCGAGCCCAGGCCTCAGCGATGGCCGTAGTGTTGCTGAGCATGCAGACGGCGCGCTGCACCCGCGCCAGGTCGCCACTCGGCACCACCGTGGGAGGCTGGTAGTTGATGCCCACCTGGGGTGGTGGGAGACACCAGGGGGAGTGGCGGTGAGGGCCACCGGATGAGTTGTGGTGAGAGGTACAAGAAAGGGCGCGTTGGAAGGTGTCATCATGAAAGGTACCATCATCAAACTGTTACCGCGTACGTTCTCGCGGTTGCATTGTGGGTTGTACCGCGTATTGTCCAGCGTCATGTCTGACATGTTGTGCCAGGACCTGGAAGTTTCTTTTTAAAAACTGAGTTCCGTAGTAGCTCTCAGCATTGACATTAGTTCCTGAAGGAGCTCCCAGCACGTAGGAGCGAAACGTCGGAAATCGTTTCAAACAACACATAGCGGTACGTATGAATTTATATATATTGAACTTCTTTCGCACCGTACGTAGCCAACCGTACTCATCGGTGGTGCGGCGAAAGGACAGCAAACTAAAACCACAACCCAAAAATACACGGGAGAACTATTTGTAACAGCATCATGGAGGTTGGACGGGCAGGAGTGCTGGAGTCTCTATACTTGTCGGTCTGAGAAACGTTCTTCGCTATGGAAACACAAAACGCCTCGAGATCTTGCGACAAGATCGCTACGTTGGCGACACTGGCTTTACCCGGTGCTCATGCAGTCAGAAGTTTTTATTTTAGTGTTGGGCCTGGTCTAGTCGATGAGACTATGGGAAATATTAGTCGAGTCTCTGTGGATTTCATGTCGTCATTATCTTAGTCTAGTCGAATAAATCAGTTAATTATTTAGTCGTTAGACACGTTCGTTTGCTAAATATTGGTGTCTGTGTAGCAGTGTTTCTCCTCCGATCGTTATCAGGTCAGCCAATTATTAAACTCAGTAAATCCTGTTATATACACATAGCTAATTACCTGTTCGGTTTTCCTCAGTGCACTGCAGTCTCTAGTAATACTATTACATCATCTCGGCCTGTGTCTTCACTCAGACTCTGTTAGTTTTGTCTCGTCATGGTCAGCTGGTCTTTGTTCTCTGGTGATGGTGATGACGGTGGTGGGTAGTAGTGGTAGTCAGTTGTCACGCTTATAAGTCCACTTGTAGCCATCGCTGACTCAAAAATAAAAACGCTTTGTCGACAAAATATTTCCATGGCGAATTTCGTTTTGCAAAACCTCACGCTGAGCATCCTCACCTTGAAGCCCGTGGGGCACCAGTCGACGAACTGGATGCTGCGCTTGGTCTTGATGGCGGCGATGGCGTTGTTGACGTCCTTGGGCACAACGTCGCCGCGATACAGCATGCAGCACGCCATGTACTTGCCGTGCCGTGGGTCGCACTTCACCATCTGGTTGGCCGGCTCGAAGCAGGCCGTCGTGATCTCAGCCACGGACAGCTGCTCGTGGTAGGCCTTCTCGGTCGAGATGATGGGCGCGTAGGTGACCAGCGGAAAGTGGATGCGCGGGTAGGGCACCAGGTTGGTCTGGAACTCGGTGAGGTCGACATTGAGGGCGCCGTCGAAGCGGAGCGAGGCCGTGATGGACGACACAATCTGGCCGATGAGGCGGTTGAGGTTGGTGTAGGTGGGGCGCTCGATGTCCAGGTTGCGGCGGCAGATGTCGAAGATGGCCTCGTTGTCGACCATGAAGGCACAGTCGGTGTGCTCCAGGGTGGTGTGGGTGGTGAGGATGGAGTTGTAGGGCTCCACCACGGCGGTGGACACCTGTGCCGTACGCGACACGAGGGCCGCGGAAGGATGGAGAAACGGGTCAGAATGTGTATAGGTTGGTATCGGTCGGGTCAGGTCAGGTCAAGTCGATTGGAGTTGGGGCAGGTCAGTAATGCGATAGAAACATGGGTTTATATTATTTACATTATTTTGCTGCTTTAAATTTCAACCTGATAAGTAATTTTGTTGAGCGGTCATTCGTGGGCAGGTCGCGTCTGAAAAAGAGCTATACAGCTCAGTGAGCCCTTACCTGGTAAAATAAAAAAAATAGTTTAGTTTTTTTAGTTTAGTTTAAATCCGGAGCACCGAGGCCTTGTCCGCAAACCGTAGCGCCAACTCACCTGTGGCGCAGGGTAGATGGAGAACTCCAGCTTGGACTTCTTTCCGTAGTCGACCGAGAGGCGCTCCATGAGCAGCGACGTGAAGCCCGAGCCCGTGCCACCCCCGAAGCTGTGGAAGATCAGGAATCCCTGCAGCCCCGAGCACTGATCGGCCTGCGGTCCGTGTGGGAACATTAGGTGGGGACATGGGGTGGACATGGGGGTGAGGACAGCGATTGGGAACACAGGCAGCAGTAACAACGATCCAAGTCAGTGACGAGGAATATATGTTCCCCCCGATTAGTCTGAAATGTCCTCCCCCACCAGGAGTATGAGCTTCGTGAAAGATCAAACCCGGGGATTGGGCGTGTAGTGAAGAAACGTGAATTTTCTGACGTGGAGCACAGTGTTGACAAACGGATATGGAGCGTGGACAATTGATTTCAGTACTTTTCCGATTCTAACACGCTCCGGAAAATAAACACCACAAACCAGTGTCAATAAAGTTGCCGACTCCTTCCCTTCTTCAAGTCCAGGTTCAGGAGCTTCCTCTTCTCCTCTGCCTATGCCTGACCCTATTCACGTAGACGAATGCATGTATCTCCCCATAATTCGTGGTTCCTCATGATGCACAGTGGTTCCTAATTATGTGCAGCGTTTCAGGCAGTTGGACGGACGGACAGAGCTATTGCCAGGGCCGCCCAGAGAGGGTGAAGCACGGAGTGCAGAAGGTGCAATTTGCCCCAAAAGGACCCCATAACATTTCTGGAGGATTCTTGACTCAGGGCCCATCTGGCGCGTTGATTGGCCCTGAACAGGCCGTTGGCGCTGCTTGTGTTGTTTGTCTGGAAACTGGGGGATGCTCGACGTTCGGTCGCCGCGTTGATTTCTCACTTAACCAGAGTGGGCCGCGTGGAGGCTGCCATCTTCCACTCCACAACATTTCTGATTTTATGTTACTCATGAATCAAGGGGGCCCCACGTGGAATTATGTCTAGGACCTCCAGCCCCGGGGCCTCCATGGGACCTCTCTGGGCAGCGCAGCGGTTGCAGTAACCATTTTCAACGTCAGTGGAAAATCGTTAAAAACTGACAGTGCTTGCCCCACTCCTCCCCACCGGCCACCAAAGACAAAGATCCCCGTATAGCCTTAACAGACTGTAGGAGCAAGTGCTGTTAGCGAGCACCTATGAAGGCCGGCACGGCACACGAGGGGGTGGGTGGCCAGCACCACGCCCGGCTGCCTTTGTCTCCCCAGTGGCGATGTTTACACACCGCACCAAGTACTCATTTGAGGCTGAGTCGACCTAGGGGAGGCCCCAGGAACCGGTTCAAATAATTGTCACTGGAATTGGCCGTGAGCGGGAATCAAACTCGGCTCGCCGGGATTCATAGTGTAGCGTAGCGCTAACCGCTACACCACCGCTCCCCACCACCATCACCACCGGCCCGCCCCCACCGCCCCGTACCAGCTTGCGGATGCGGTCGAGCACCAGGTCGACAATCTCCTTGCCAATGGTGTAGTGGCCGCGCGCATAGTTGTTCGCCGCGTCCTCCTTGCCCGTGATGAGCTGCTCGGGGTGGAAGAGCTGGCGGTACGGGCCCGTGCGTATCTCGTCTGAAAGAGGGGTCGCACACGAGGGGTCAAGGCGCGTTGCGAATGGGGCTCGCGCGTGTTGGCGTTGCTGGGGGAGCAGACTTTCGCCCTCTTCCTCCAAACTTGGCAGACTGGGGGGGCAGCGGTGGGGGGGGGGTAATTGTCTTTCGCCCCCCACTGGGAAGCCCTGCAGCCCTGAGCACCGATCGGCCTGGGATCCATGTGGAGAACGTGGTAGAAACTTAGGGGGAAATTGGGGGGGGGGGGGGCATGAAGGGTTAGGGGTTAATGTATGAATATTATTCGAAAGAATTGTCCAGTCGGTGTATATCACTATGCATAATTGGTTTCTTTTGGGTTAGGTCAGGGGTCGGCAACCTGCGGTTCCGGAGCTGCATGTGGCTCTTTAAGGACTGCTGCTTCGTTGTGGCTCTTGAAATGTTGAGGGTCTTTTTCCACCGAATTCTAAAAAATCGCTCTTCTTGTGATTTTGGTTGCCGACCCCTGGGTGTGGTCGTGTAAATAAAATGTGTCGTAAGCCCTCCTCCACTCAACAGCAGGTGTATATCAGGTGTATGTCACCTGCTGTGACGTACGGAGCAGAAACGTGGACAACGAAGAATAGAATTAAAGAAACTGACTACGTGTGCAAATTAGCATGGATAGGTGCACGCTTTGCATTCCACAGACGAGATTAGGACCACAGGATCAGGGAGCAAACACCGATTAGAGATGTAACCTTGACTGTGAAGAAAGGTGAGCAGGATTGGGGAGGGCACGTCATAGCTAGAAGGGATGGTGGCCGGTGGGCGATACCTAACAAAGTATAGCAACAACCCAGGAGGATCTCCACCACGGAGATGGAGCGATGAAATCGACTCGTGTGCAGGCGCTAGGCGGAACGTTTCATCGCGAGACCAATGAGGCACGGCGGCGGCCTGGAGAGGCCCTATCATCCAGCGGTGGATAAATCGTGGACTGCGATATCGATGACATTTTTACATGGTTCCAATGCGTGCGGTTGGTGTTGCCTGCTGCGTGCGGCGTGCGTGGCATGCCCGCGACTGATGCCGTCCCTGTAAACAAGCGGCACGAACGATAAAATATCCACGGGGCTTGGCAGAGAAAGGAGGTCGCGAGGCCTGGAGGGCGGATGGATTTCATCCGTGATACCACCAGTCTCAATAGCAGGGGGGGCGGAGGGGGGAGGTGGGGGGAGGGGGGATAGCAGCATAACCTTCACAATACAAGTCGGGGGGGCTTCGTTTGACTGTGCCGAGGAGCTGTCAAAAAAGAGGTAGGTTATGAGGTGCGTGGTAGTTGTCCCCCCCTCCCCCCCTAAAAGGTTTAGATGGCCGGTGTGTATAAGGTTGCTCCCTCTGACTGAAGCTATTGTGGAAGATTTTATTTTATTTTATTAAAATATCCGAGGATTAAAATCTCCCGAATTGCTTCCAGTAGTCACCAGGACATCGATGCCAATGCTGGAGAAGGCTCCGGGGATAATCCGGGAGGATTGGCAACGCTAGGTGTGTATCATAGATCAAGTTCAACATTGTAAGTAAACAACGAACGATTTCTTGATGGGAATTTCATTTTCATCAACTCTATCCATCTTCTTGGTTCTTTGGGTAAAGTCACATAGAAGAGAAATAAAAAATAAAAAAAATAAAACATCATAAAATACAATAAATATGCAAAATTCCTCTGTTGATATGCAAATTCCTTTGTCAAGGCGCCCTTCCTCCTCTAACCCAGCTTAAATATACGCTGCCAAGCATGGTGGTGTTCATTCAGACGCTGTCTTTCCGACAGACCTGTTCTTCACCTGAGGACGGCTGCTTGCGTTGTGGCCGAAACGTCGTGAGAATTGTATTTTATTATGTTTTATTTTTATTATTTCATTATTTCCCTTCTACGTGACTTTACCGAAAGAACCAAGAAGATGAATCCCTGCAGTCACGAAAGCTTTAAATCGAAATTCAACTCTATCCACTTATGGACGAAGGCGTCTCGATCCCGTCGCGCTATTTCCCCCATGGTCCAGTTTCCCTGCCATCCGTCTCAACGACATCCCTTGCTCGTGAGCTGATCTCATCGCTTCGTACGCAGGGGCAATCCACGAATAGATGCCCCCCGCTGATCTCCAGTAACGACCCCCCCTCTCTCTTTCACTTCCTTCTCACCGGCTCATTGAATGTCGTGAAAGCGACGGTTCCTTCGAACGCGCAGGGGAGGTTGAGCGTGACGAGATTGTTGTAGCGAGCGTATTGCGATCGGCTGGATGCGTGCGGAGGCTTCGGTTTAATGCGTAAAAAAGTGCGACCAATATGGTTGTTGTTGTTGTTATTCTTGTGTTACGCAGGATTGGTCAGAAAAAAAAATCTGAATCTTTATTTAGACCGGAGGAATCCAATGAGCTGATGGAGCTCTATTTCACGGATGTTCAGTAGGGACGGGTCAGAAGGTTACAACAAGAATGCAAAAACCGATAGGAGTGAAAAGTGTAGGAAAGGTAAGAAAGTCACTATAAATAAATAAACGATGTAAATACAATATGCTAAAGTATATCCATTCCTGTCGGTGTTTTAAAACTAAATGCAAGCTTGGCAAAGGCAGCAAAACAACAACAATAACAACAGCAGTTCCAAACACAAGACAACACCACATCCCTTATAGTCTTAAACAAAATCCAAAAGTGAATAGAGTTGAGACTTTAACACCAAAACGTTATTTTAACTTTGTAAGTTATGATTGTTGCTTTAAAAGGATATGCCGCACATGAATCGGCCATGTGGCCCAGTGGTATAGCGAGCGGTTCAGTCGGAAGGATCGGGAGTTCAATGCCTGGTTGGGGATTGACTATCAATGGGATCAATTTCGTTTCGCTGAATGAAGCATGATTTGGTGATGCCGCTGCTGCGTTTGGGAGTGGTGCACAATCGTAAATAAATCACCTGACGCACCCGTCTATAAGGCTGTGTGGCCTCACAAGGAAGCAGATAAAAGGTGACATTTCGGGATTGTTTTCATTTATTTCAGCAGAAAGGGCCCAATCAGCTATTTCATGGGTGTCTTGGGACGGTAAAGATGGACTCCACGGTGGCGAGACGTTAATTACCTCGCCTGGTATACAGCAGGTCGTGGGTTCCATCTCGACCTGTATATTTGGAGTTTTCATGTTCTCCTTGTGGTCGTGTGGATTTTTCTCCGTGTCCTCTGGTTTCTCCATTCACATTTAGAATCCTGCTTGAGAGTATTTGGGCTGCTATACATTTCCACACGATGATAAGCCACTGTCATTTGTGATGGCCAAGTCACTTCCGAAAAGAGCTTCATAGCTCAGTGTGCCTTGCCTGGGTATGTAAACATAGTTCAAAATACAGCAGAACCCCTCTTAACGACCACTCCTGTTCACAACTAATCGCTTAACGACAGGTCTCCATAGAGCTCAATGTGTAGTCTATAGTAGTGTAGTGTATAGTGTAGTGTATAGTGTAGTGTATAGTGTAGTGTATAGTGTAGTGTATAGTAGTGTAGTGCCTCCATAGAGCCCAATGTGTTCGCTTACCGACCATTCCCCTGTTTACGACGGGCTGTTTACGACGGGCTGTTGTCGGTCGGTACAGTAAATATTAGTTAATGCATTGGTTAACAGTGTTTTTTTATGTGATTATAATGGTGTTAGTATCTTAATATCAATTGTTTAAATATTATAAAGTACGTTTTTGGGTGAAAATGGGTAACTTTTGATGCCATTGGAACGAATTAAGCCTTTAACGTGTATTTCCTATACTCGCTTCACGATCAAATCACTTAACGACCGGTTTCGTGGAACCAAATACCGTCGTTAAGAGGGGTTCGACTTTAGTTCAATAGTACACAGTACAGATCTTAGTTACAATCATGGCTTTATAGGTCGCGATACAAACAGCGCGCATCGGTACGCGCTTTTGCATTGGCGAGCGACTGGTGGACTGAGAAAGGTGGCGTTTTGTGGCGGCGTGTGGGCTGACACGATGCCTCTTGGTCGCCGCGGCTTGCAGAGATACGAAAGCTACCCAGGAGAGAGCACTTTTGAACAAAGCGTCGCCGTCACACGAACCCAATCGTGGTTCCCTCTTCGTGAAGTCGTCCGATCACCTCGAAGCAAGCCGCGTGATGTGGCGTGGCACAAGAACACAACGCGGAATAAAATCTACCGTCACCGAATGGATTTTTTTCTTTTAGCCGGCCTGTTCTCTTCTCGTTATGAGAGAGAACAGGACGCACCATCTGCAATGGCCCTTCTTCACAGACCCACTTTTGAAACGATTGCCTCTCAAAAGATACATTTTTTCGCCATCGGCCCGTACCCAAAACGCACGCGCCCACGACGTTCGAACCTCCCGCCGCCGAGTTACCGCGGGTTGTGCGGACTGCGAGTTTTGCATCGTCCGGGTTCAACTTACCGACCACGGTGGGCTCCAGGTCGACGAAGACGGCGCGGGGCACGTACTTGGCGGCGTCGGTCTCGCTGAAGAAGGTGCTGAACGCGTCCTTGCGGTCGCTGTGCGGCCTCGGCGCGCCGCCGCCGCCGCCGCTGCTGCCCCCGCTGCCGGCGGCGACGGTGGCGGCGGCGGCCAGGGCACTCTGCGACTGCTTGTCCTGCAGGGTGCCGTCCTGCATGATGCCGTGCTCCAGGCAGAAGAGCTCCCAGCACGCGTTGCCGATCTGCACGCCGGCCTGCCCGACGTGTACCGAGATGCACTCACGCTGCACACGCGCGCACACGCAGAATGTTGTTTAGTTTGTTTGTTCGATTGCTCGTGTGACACAGTTGTGTTGTTTTTGTTTTTCTCCCTCGATTTTTATTTGATTCGTTGATGTTACTCACTTCGGCGACCCAGTCACTCTTTTTAAACGAGACTCACCCTCCCCCCCAGTCTCTTAAGTGTTCACCGGGGTAAAATAAAAAAAAAACTCGTATGCACTGTATGTATTTTGAACTTCTTTCGCACCACCGTATGTAGCCAACCGTGCAAATCGGAGGTGCGGGGGGGGGAGGACGACAACTTGAACGCAGACACGCAGTCGTGTGCGTACGCGCAGTGCGAGGGACGCGCGTGTTCGTGGTGCCCGACTCGCAGTGCTGCACAGGGTGTAAACCAGGGGTGGGGATATTTATAAGATCATTCGCGGGCCATACAAAATTATCAACTTAAAAATTAGCGTGTTATATTTGGTCAAACATTTAATTAACTCACCCCCTAATGTGATGGCTGGAACTGATTCTCTTTGGCGAGTCGTGTGATGTTAGTTGGTATTGATGATGTTGCTACTCGCAACTGCTTTTCCAGGTTTGCTCCTAGATTTATTGAATTTTGAGTCCTGTCTGCGGTTGCCTTGGCAGGGCCAGACCAAATAATTTCGCGGGCCTCGTACGGCCCGCGGGCCGGACGTTCCCCACCCCTGGTGTAAAGCCACGGTCGGCCAGGAGAGGTGGCTGGCTATGCCAGCACCTGGCAGGGCGAGCGAGCGTACCTGTCTGGCACGTACCGCTGCTCCACCGAGCCAATAGAAACACACACACATATACAATCTACATATGGTTTATGATGTATTTAAAAAGGACATATCTTGCCTTTCCCCCCAATTTGAGCAATAATTTTTTATTGTTTTAAGGCACCATTTAATAATTGCGCTCAGAGGGGCCATGTGTATGATGGGTGGTAAATAAGGAGAAGCAACTGGGGAGAGAATGATGAAAGAGAAAACATGTCGAACTGGAGAAAGAGGCCAGTTCTCCTTCCGATATTAGGAAGCCACTAGAGATATTCACTTTTCAATCTAGATTGAAAAATCATCTCTTCAGAACTGATTTTTGTGTGTGTTTAGTTTGTTGCCCATCCCCCAAACCTCCGATTAGCACGGTTGACTACTAGTTACGGTGCGAAAGAAGATCAACATACATCCAACGTCTTCTTGGTTCTTTCGGTAAAGTCACGTAGAAGGGAAGTAATAAAATAATAAAAATAAAACATAATAAAACAATTCTCACGACGTTTCGGCCACAACGCAAGCAGCCGTCCTCAGGTGAAAACCAGGTCCGTCGAGGCGACAGAGTCTGAATGAAACAGCACACGAGCTTGGAGCATATATATAAGCTGGGCGCATTGACAAAGGAATTTGCATATCAAAAGGAATTTAGCATATTTATGGGAAATGCAGGAATGTGATTAGTACTGCATATGCATGTGCATTATGCAGGATTAACAGCATCAAAGGGAGCTGCAGTTACTGCTGCTGCAGCAGTTGCTGCTGCTGCTGCAGTTTCTGCTGCTGCTGCAGTTGCTGCTGCTGCTGCAGTTGCTGCTGCTGCTGCACTTGCTGCTGCTGCTGCACTTGCTGCTGCTGCACTTGCTGCTGCTGCTGCAGTTGCTGCCTTATCCATTTTAATATAACACTATGTATTATTCTACCCACCCTAATGTGTATCATACTGCTATATGTTTACTGTACAATTACGACACCATACATTACTCTGCACACTGCACCATGCCAGTGAGTGGAACGTGGTCTGAAAGTCACCGTAAACGTGAACACAATCAGTTAAGATCCGAAATGGTTTATTACGTCCTTCCAATGATTGCTAAGCCAGAATCCATCTTCTCGGTTGAAATTGTCTCTGTGGTTGTATATGTGGATCGCCTCATGAACGAATCTCTCATGATAGCCAGATGGCTTGCAGAGAACCTCTGTCTTGGAGAAGTCAATGTCATGTGAGCCCACTGAATTGTAACAGTGATCTGCCACGGCTGAGGTGTTTGTCCTACCGTGTTTCAGGTCTGCCTTATGTTCACGGATGCGGTCCGAGACATGTCGTTTGGTTTCTCCAATGTAACTGCTACCACAGAGGAAACTTAGTTTGTAGACGCCAGGGTACTGTATGTCTGGAACCACATCTTTTACAGAAGGGACATCCAACGACTGCGAATTCCTAACCTCCAGGGGCAGGGAATTGCAGAGCCACGGTGGCCATCACCCCAGGTTCGAGGCCTGGAGCGCGGTACGTTGGGTAGGGCACGATCGGTCGATGTCAGCGTTCTTTCATCCCGGTCATGATATCGGCGTCGTGTAATCATGACACGAAGCATCCATATGGAACTCAGAAATAATAAAACTCTCTCAGAGCGGTGTGGACCCTCTCGTTGTTACACGGGAGAATCAAGTTTATCCCGCTCGCCACTTGGCACGGAGGTTCACGGTTTGGCTCCAGCGGCCGCCCTGAATAATACTGCGCATGTATTAAATATCAAAACCATATACGCCGACTGTTTCCGTGGACGTTAAATATCTCGTGATGTCCTTCACAAGATGTAGGCCAATGTGTGCCGACGTCATTGGCTAAAGTTAAAAAAAAGCAGTTACCCGCATGTTACTCAATTGGAATTAGCATGGCATCTCTCCCTACTGTGAGCACTTGTTGGCAGAATCATCCTGAGTGGAATAAGTAATACGAGATACCCTGGTACGCACCTAGTGACGCTGTATGGCTGAGTTACCAAATTGGAAGCTCTATCACCCTATCGGGTGCAGTACTTATTGCATTTAAACCACTATAAAGCTCCTGTATAGATACAGGGTGGCCCAAAAATTCAGGACACATAAGGTTAGTATATGTATTTTGACAACTCACATCGGGTTATTTCATTTACATTAATAAATGTTACAATTGACTTGGATTAACATTAATGCATGCATGGATTCTCTTTTGAAATAAATTTAGGAAATATCTTTAAAAATTACAGGTCTAATCAAAGAATATTAACCGATTATTGTTTTGTCTCAATTTAAGCAGGTTTCTTGGTCGAGTTTTATCAACGACGAATTTGTCTGAGAGCCTGGGCTACAGCACCTTGTTGTTCCTTCCCATGCACCTTCGATGAGCGCGGTTGGCTACGTACGGTGCAAAAGAAGTTCCAGAATACGTGCGAATCGGAGTTGCGGGGGGCAGGACAACAAACTAACCACAAGAAGCAGTTCTAAAGAAAAGAGTTTTCAAATATAGATTTGAAAAATCTAGAAGCAGTTCTAAAAATATGAGTTTCCAAATCTAGATTTGATAAATCTAGATACACACGTACACACACCTAAGACAGGCAATGCTATAGCTGCCACCGCCGCTGCTGCCACAGTCGTTGCTGCCACCAATGTGGCAGTGACGGGGTTGAGCGGTGCGAGCAGGTGCGTGTGGCAAAGAGAGAGGGCCACGTGCGTCGCCAGAAGCCTATTTGTGTCCCACACGTCGCCGTGAACCCAGAAGCTTCAGCTACCCCCGCCTCTTCCCTTCAACGCAGAGTTGGATGAAGCTAGTGCGGGGCCTGTAGCATATGATAAAAGGGGCCATAAAAAAACACATATGTAATAAAAACATGACATTTTTACTTGCATCGTAAAGTTATCTATTTTTTTTGCATTTTCTATATAGCCAGATAATACGACAAATCGCTAACCTTAATCACCCAGTCGTTCATAAAAGTTCAAGGCAATATAGTACTATTGTAATAGAGCAAGTGCAGAATCACTGAACCGGAACTGATAGCTTGAAAGCATTTAGCGTGGGGCCCTTTAAAGTACGGGGCCCGTAGCATATGTAGCTACTTTTGCTACGAGGATAATCCGGCACTGCTTCAACGAGAGAAGAACTTCACAACCCGGGGGGTCTTTTATACTGATGTAGTGACATGGAATGGTCACTACGTAGCATAGCGCTGATTGCTGGCAGAGAAGGGGATCTGCAGTTGCAGCAGTCCTGTCTGTCAGCAAGTCACGTGATAAGTCAGAGAGAGGGATGTAGGGGAAAGGTTACAGAGGGGGCACGTGAGGCGAGCCCGGGAAACCGCGAGTAGGTTCTAGAAGGGGGGTGTGGCCGGGGCGGAGCGAGGCCACGCTAGGAGGATAAAAGGGGACCGCGAGCAAAGACTCGGGGCTGTCATTTGGAGTGGGATCCCGTCGTGCTGCTGGAGTCTTCGTCTACGTCTTCACCTTCTCAGCGTCATCAGTCAGGCAGTCTGCCAGCTGTCCTGACTAGGAGCTGTAGTTACCTCTTGTGAGCTGTGAAGGCTGTTAATAAATAGAGTGCCTCCTACTTCTAGTGTCACTGAGTCAGTCACTACTGCTTCGTTTGAGAAGACCGCTTATTCAACTTGCGGCTATCCGTCCATCCGCTGGCTGGATGAAGGCGAGCGGAACGCAGCGTTGCAGGCAGGTCATGGGGGAGGGGTTACCAACTCGCACTAACCAGCGTGGTGAAATATGGTAAAATTCCGCCACATCCTCTATGACCGACGGGGCATGGAGAGGCCTCATCCAGCAAGCAGTGGATTGAAAAAGCGATGGATAACACATTCCTGCGGAGGGAGCTGGTAGGAACGTTGGGTTGCTCGGTCAATGGCCAGGGTCAACGGTGGCGTGGTGTATTCTGCAAATATGCCCGACTGTGAGGGCGGGCACAAGCCGGTGTGAGTAGGTTAAACGTTGAGTTTTATAAGGGCACCACGGGGTGACCAGCCCCTCTCCACCCAGTCCCACCCCTCCTACCCCCCACCTAGCCCCACCCAGCCCCCCCCCCCTCCCCACCCTCCCCACCCAGCCCCCCCCTCCCCACCCAGCCCCTCCCCACCCAGCCCCTCCCTTCACGACGGACACAATAATCCCCTGTGGGCTGGTGTAACCAGGAGGTTCCTACCAGTATAAATGTCGTGTTGTTTATC